AACTCAAAATGGATTAGAGACATAAATGTAAGACCAGACACTATAAAACTCTTAGAGGAAAACATAGGAAGAACACTCTTTGACATAAATCACAGCAAGATCTTTTTTCCCACCTCCTAGAGTAATGGAAATAAAAGCAAAAATAAACAAATGGGACCTAATGAAACGTGAAAGCTTTTGCACAGCAAAGGAAACTGTAAGCAAGCCGAAAAGACAACCCTCAGAATGGGAGAAAATATTTGCAAACAAATCAACGGACAAAGGATTAATCTCCAAAATATATAAACAGCTCAGGCAGCTCAATATTAAAAAAACAAACAAGCCAATCCAAAAATGGGCAGAAGACCTAAATAGACATTTCTCCAAAGAAGACATACAGATGGCCAAGAAGCAAATGAAAAGCTGCTCAACATCACTAATTATTACAGAAATGCAAATCAAAACTACAATGAGGTATCATCTCATACCAGTTAGAACGGGCATCATGGGAAAATCTACAAACAACAAATGCTGGAGAGGGTGTGGAGAAAAGGGAACCCTCTTGCACTGTTGGTGGGAATGTAAATTGATACAGCCACTATGGAGAACAGTATGGAGGTTCCTTAAAAAACTAAAAATAGAATTACCATATGATCCAGCAATCCCACTACTGGGCATATACCCAGAGAAAACCATAATTCAAAAAGACACATGCATCTCAATGTTCATTGCAGCACCATTTACAATAGCCAGTTAATGGAAGCAACCTAAATGCCCACTGACAGATGAATGGATAAAGAAAATGTGGTACACATATACAACATAATATTACTCAGCCATAAAAAGGAACGAAATTGAGTCACCTGTAGAGACGTGGATGGATCTAGAGACTGTCATACAGAGTGAAGTAAGTCAGAAAGAGAAAAACAAATATCGTATATTAACACATATATGTGGAACCTAGAAAAATGGTACAGATGAACCTGTTTGCAGGGCATAAATTGAGACATAGATGTAGAGAACAAACATATGGACACCAAGGGTGGAAAGCGGCGGGGGTGGTCGTGTGATGGATTGGGCAATTGGGATTGACATGTATACACTGATGTGTATAAAACTGATGACTAATAAGGACCTGCTGTATAAAAAAATAACTTAAATTAAAAAAAAGTTTGTACCACGTTAAAAAAAAGAAAAAGAAAATGACTATACTACCCAAAGCAATCTACAGATTCAATACAATCCCTATCAAACTACCACTGGCATTGTTCACAGAACTAGAACAAAATATTTCACAATTTGTATGGAAACACAAATGACCCGGAATAGCCAAAGCAATCTTGAGAAAGAAAAACGGAGCTGGAGGAATCAGGCTCCCTGACTTCAGACTATACTACAAAGCTACAGTAATCAAGACAGTATGGTAGTGGGTCAAAAACAGAAATATAGATCAATGGAACAGGGTAGAAAGCCCAGAGATAAACCCATGCATATATGGTCACCCTATCTTTGATAAAGGAGGCAAGAATATACAGTGGAGAAAAGACAGCCTCTTCAATAAGTGGTGCTGGGAAAACTGGACAGCTACATGCAAAAGAATGAAATTAGAACACTTCCTAACACCATACACAAAAATAAACTCAAAATGGATTAAAGACCTAAATGTAAGGCCAGACACTATCAAACTCTTAGAGGAAAACACAGGCAGAACACTCTATGACATAAATCACAGCAAGATCCTTTTTGACCCACATCCTAGAGAAATGGAAATAAAAACAAAAATAAACAAATGGGACCTAATGAAACTTGAAAGCTTTTACACAGCAAAGGAAACCATAAACAAGATGAAATGACAACCCTCAGAATGGGAGAAAATATTTGCAAATGAAGCAACTGACAAAGGATTAATTTCCAAACTTTACAAGCAGCTCAATATCAAAAAAACAACAAACCCAATCCAAAAATGGGCAGAAGACCTAAACAGACATTTCTCCAAAGAAGATACACAGATTGCCAACAAACACATGAAAGAATGCTCAACATCATTAATCATTAGAGAAATGCAAATCAAAACTACAATGCGATATCATCTCACACCCGTCAGAATGGCCATCATCAAAAAATCTACAAACAATAAATGCTGGAGAGGGTGTGGAGAAAAGGGAACCCTCATACACTGTTGGTGGGAATGTAAACTGATACAGCCACTATGGAGAACAGTATGGAGGTTCCTTAAAAAACTAAAAATAGAATTACCATATGACCCAGCAATTGCACTACTGGGCATATACCCTGAGAAAACCATAATTCAAAAAGAGTCATGTACCACAATGTTCACTGCAGCTCTATTTACAATAGCCAGGACATGGAAGCAACCTAAGTGTCCACTGACAGATGAATGGATAAAGAAGATGTGGCACATATATAAAATGGAATATTACTCAGCCATAAAAAGAAACAAAATTATTTGTAGTGAGGTGGATGGACCTAGAGTCTGTCATACAGAGTGAAGTAATTCAGAAAGAGAAAAACAAATACCGTATGCTAACACATATATATGGAATCTAAAAAAAAAAAAAAGAACTGGTCATGAAGAACCCAGGGAAAGATGGGAATAAAGACGCAGACCTACTAGAGAATGGACTTGAGGACACGGGGTAGGGGAAGGGTAAGCTGGGACAAAGTGAGAGAGTGGTAGGTTATATATGGACATATAAACACTACCAAATGTAAAACAGATAGCTAGTGGGAAGCAGTCGCATAGCACAGGGAGATCAGCTCGTTGCTTTGTGACCAGATAGAAGGGTGGGATAAGGAGGGTGGGAGGGAGACGCAAGAGGGAAGAGATATGGGGATATATGTATAACTGATTCAGTTTGTTATAAAGCAGAAACTAACACACCATTGTAAAGCAATTATACTCCAATAAAAACGTTAAAATAAAAAAGAAAGTTGATAAATTGGATTTAATCAACATTTTAAAATTTGCTCTTCAAAAACACCATCGTGAAATGAATAAGCAAGCAACAAACTGAAAAAAAATATCTGCAAACCATATATCCAACAAAGGACTTATATCTTAAGTCCTTACAACTCAATTAAAAGATATACAACCCAGGGGCCTTCCCTGGCGGTCCAGTGGTTAAGACTCCGCACTTCCACTGCAAAGGTCACGGGTTTCATTCCTGGTCAGGGAACTAAGATTCCACATGCTGCACAGCACGGGCCCCACCCCCCCACAAAGAGATATACAACCCAGTAAGAGAAAAATGAGCCTGAGATCTGAATAGGCTCTTTACCAAAAGAGACAGAAGGTAAAAAAGCACATGAAAAGATGCTCATATCTAAACTTGTCAAACTGCAAATTTTAAATATACTCAGTTACTAGACATTAATTATACTTCAACAAAGCTATGAAATTTTTCAAAATAAACTTAAATAGCACTCACAAGAAAGCAAACAGATGTGCTCACGTGACATGCAATGGCTTGGACTGACTACAGATAATAACACTGTGTATCATGAAGGCTGATTTTAAAGAATGACATTATGATGGACTCTGTTAGTTTCCTATTTTACACCCAGTCTTCTTTGCTTCCTTATTAAAAGAACCTCAACTGTGTACAAGAAAATGTGTCCAGCTAAAACAAGCAGAACTCTTATCTGTGGCTGTTTTACCTTTGTAACAGAGACGCCACCCCCTTCCCTCCATGTCCATGCTGGAATACGGGAGCACAGCATTTGTACTGTGACCACGAGGACACAAGCCAATACTAAGGAAGGAGGGGGGAAAAAATGGGGAGGAACCTGGCTCTTTGATGACATCCACATGAGTCAAGTCCTAGACTGCTTGCCTCTGAACTTCTTGCTGAGAAAAGATGTCTTCCTTGTTTAAGCCATTATTTGTTGCTGTGCCTCTTGCACATAGTTGATCAAAATTTGTAACATTCAGAGAATTTAGTTCAGAAGTGGGGTCTGAGGTACTAGTCACCCAAATCAGCCCTATGTCACTGTCCAATTTTATGGTCCCACTCTTTTCCCTACTAAGTCCCTTAACTTTTATAAGAGATCTAGTGAGATTTTAAACTCAATTTATGTTGTAATTCATCAACTCACAAGCTCAGGCTCTGGTTTTTGACAGTATCAGCCTATGACTGTAAAAGATGAGAAAACTCTCTTAGGGAAATCACAGAAACTTCCTGGGTTTTTTAATACCTTAAGAAAGAATTCTACTTAAGTAAAATTTCTGAGTAATGGAGGGGGAAAAAAGAATTCTATACAAATCCTTGGCAAGCACCCATAGCCTCTCCTTAAGTGGGCACTTTATTCTAGGTAATAACTTAAGGAACTGTTTCATCACTGCATGATATTGGACTGCTAAAGTCACATCCTCTGTAACTAATTTTATCCTCACTGCCATCAAACCCAAACAGTTGCTACAACCAATGTGAGATTCCCACATCTTTGAAGGTCTCCTACTTGCAACTAATCTTGCTATCAATTATCAAATAGGTCTGCCTAGTAATAGCATATTATAGAAATCAAATATAGAAATAATCTTTGGGTGGGCCTGAGACCCAGGTCCTAAAGGTATGTAACCAGCAATAATGCCCAATTACACCATGAGAGTTGTTCTAGCAAAAATACCATTTCCGCTGCTGCTCAGACCTGGATTCCAAAAGTCCAAGCATTGCTGCCCCTGAAGAAGTGGGTTTTTCTGTTACCAGGCTTGCTGGTCAGTCTTCCTGCTCACTGCTACATATTCATATTGTTTACTTCTAAATCCAGGTCTTAGGTCACATGCCTGATCCTAGGAGATGGGAAGTATGAATCCTGTAATTTCATTGAGAAGAGAGAACCCTTACGTAGGAAACTATCAAAATGTAAGATGTTGTGCAGCCACAAATTGTAACTGTCCACCACTTACATTATCTTTACCATCTTTACCTGAAACATTTCACACAAGACACTTCTACACAGTGACAGTTAACTGCCCATCGCCACTTTTTAGTCATACTTACTGAACGGGCACATTTTTTGGGGGGACTGCTAGAAAGTCCATCCAGTTGCCCGTGTTCACCCAGAAATCCTGTTACTTGATCCAAGAAAGAAGATACGTCTAACTGGTGCCACTCTACTAGCTTCTGACCTAAAGATTAAAAACCAGGATATAGAAATAAAATCAACACTCTTTCTGAATTCTCACTAAGTATTTCTTTCAGCATATACATAATTAAAATTTACTGGGAACATATCCCCACCCAACACCAGCTTAAGTTACATAGTGTCTTCATAACCTAGGGGATACATTAATTATAACCAACCTAAGAGAGTCCCAGCCATCATGATGGAGGAACTACTTTATCTACTGATATCATTTATTGCCATTTAGGAAGAAGAGATTCAGAGAAAGCAATACTTATATAAAACTCAATCAATTAATAATAAACCCAGCTCTACCCTCTGCTTCTTTGGTGGGATTACAACCAGTACCTGAACAATCTTAACATTTTAGTGACCTAAGGGGATTCCTTACAAATCATAAGGAAGATAAACAGTTATTCTTTGAAAGAACAGAACTGCACAAATATAAAATACTACCATCTCCCAAAGTTGTTGGAAACATATTCCCTAAATACACACATCAATAGATGTTTAAATAATTCTAAAGGGCATGAACAAGAACCTTCAACTAAATTACTACAAACAATTTTGAAACTGGACCCAGTCAAATACTAAAGATTATTTAGGTAACTGAAAGTTAAATAATAGGTTAAAGACCATAAGCTGAAATAACCCTTACCTGTCCGTGGATCCAAGATGGAAACATAGGGGAAATCCCCTAGCTTATAAAACTGTATGTATCTCTGACCTTCCTCACTGTCATGATAAACCTGTTAAATCATTGATATTAAAAAAAAAAAATCAGCCTCTTAGAAAAGTACTAGCTATATCCTTGTTATAATACCAACAGCAATTAAAGAGAAAATGAAGGTCACCTAGTGTGAACTCCCTCCACTTCCTGCCCTCAGTCACTTGTGAAACTTACATAAATATAGCAATCCATTCTTCCTCATTTCCCAGTTCAAAGAGGTATTGCTCTTCCTTTTCAAGTTATCTGTCTACCTATTTCATTCCTGACTCTCAACAACATATATCTTAATAAATCACAATATATTAAGATTATAAGTTCAAGTGCATAGCATACTGCTAGGCAAAGAGATGCTCAATCAACAGTCGCTGAATAAAAGGTTACCATTCAGAAAAAAATTTACTGAATTTAGGGGCCTGTAAAACATGAACAGGCAAATTACTAACATTAATAGCATGTCTTACAGTGGGGAAAAGATTAAGTTCATTCAGAAGTATTGATTTTATAAAAAAAAATGTTTTTGGCTGTGTCACACAGCATACAGAATCTTAGTTCCCTGACCAGGGATCAAACCCATGCCCCCTGTGGAAGCACAGAGTCCTAACCACTGGACCGCCAGGGAATTCCCTATAATTTTTCATAATATAAACAATTGGAGCACAATCATCTACCCTTAGCTTGGTAATTTATATAAAAAGAAACCAGAGCCAGTAACACTAAGTGACAAGTTTAAGGACATACAATTAAAGGCTATCAAACTCAAGCTAAAATCCACGTCTTAGTCAAATGTTTTTTGATTACTTCAAGATCTTCTACAGTTCCCACTATCAATTATAGTAGCCACTAGAACATGTGCTACTAAAGCATTTGAAATGTGACTAGTCCTAACAGCTGTACTGTAAGTGTAAAATACATACCAGATCCTGAAGGCTTAACACCAAAAAAAAAAGAATCAAAACACCTCATCAATATTTTAATATTAGTTTTATATTAGAGATATTGATTTTTAAAATATATTAAAATCAATCGCCTGTTTCTTTTGACCCTTTTAAATATGGCTACTAGAAAATTTTGAATCACATTACATTTCTATTGAACAGTACAGCTGCACACTCTATCAAGACGTTCAAACTCTTCTGAGATATGAATACTATACGGTTTACACGGCTTGGTTCCTTTTTTCCTCCTTCCCTTCATTGCTGCCCTTTCACTTATCCTTACTATTTCAGCCATTATGGGTGGTTTTACTTCTTCATATGTCAAAATTTAACTCAGTTATGATTTTTTTCCAGTTTATAACCCAATTCCTCTTCCCCGACATCCCATGTACCAAAGTAAAACACTACAAAATTTTTAATGAACTCTCCCCACCTGCCAGAAAATGAAATGTTCTCGGATAATATTCTTCACAGCTTCATTGCTCCATACGTCACGGTTGAGGCACTGGCATGCAAAGTCTTGTACATTCTGAATGTTTATCATCAGCCACTTATTCTGCATCTGGCCACACTCTTTGGCCTGTAAGAGTAAAGTTACATAACAATTGTAAGAAAGATTTTCTACTTGGTAACTGGTATGTTTCAGAATTCAGAAGCTGTCCTTTTTCCATATAAATACTAAGTTTTTTTTCCCCAAATATGGCATCTATAGCTTTCAGTGTCTAAACATTAATTACAGGCTTCCCTGGTGGTTCAGTGGTTAAGAATCCACCTGCCAACACAGGGGACACGGGTTCATGCCCTGGTCCGGGAAGATCCCATGTGCCGCGAAGCAACTAAGCCCGCGAGCCACAACTACTGAGCCCATGTGCCAAAACTACTGAAGCCTGCACACCTAGAGCCCGTGCTCCACAGCAAGAGAAGCCACTGCAATGAGAAGCCCACGCACTGCAACAAAGAGTAGCCCCCGCTCGCCGCAACTAGAGAAAGCCCGCGCGCAGCAACGAAGACCCAAAGCGGCCAAAAATAAAATAAATAAAATTTAAAATTAAAAAAAAATTAGTTACATTATTTTGCTTATATGTATATAGTTATACTGTCCATTTGCAAGCATTTCTCAAATTTAAATGAACTGTTTTCCTTTTATTCACTGTTATTTGTTATAGTAGCTGGATTTTTATTGTACATGTAAACATCTTTACCTGAAAAAGATTCCACAAACAAGGGCAACAAGTCACATAATTCTATTGTGCTGTCAACCCCTATCCACAAATATATCTCTCCTTTCTAATAGTTGTAACTAGTATGTGCATATTAGTTTATGTTGCTTTATTTTCTTCAACATCATTTTCTATAAACATTTCCAAATATATTCATCTCGATTATTAGGCATGTGGTATTTCATAGAATCACTCTAAATCTTTCAGTAAAAGCTGCTGAGGATTTTTTCTCTCAGGGTTGTTTTCTTAGGAGTGTACTTCAAAATTGAGATTACAGATCAAAGAATGTTTCAGAATAATCTCCAAAAGACTCCCCAATTTATAGCACAATTATCAATCACGAGTGCGTGAGTGTGCACTTTCTTTTTTGCCTCACATTTCCTCATCACCATAATGACCTAAGAAATATTGCTGAACTGGAAAAGAATGGCAGAAAAGCAAATGAACAAATGCTACCTCAAACCTTTGCACAGAAACAATGAAATGAAAGCTATAGTTTTGAATAATTTTTTCCTGGAACAATATTTTTTTCCAAATCAGTTTGACATGGGAAAATCTTAAGAATCAATTAACTCAGGTTAACAACAATTGAAGAACATACATCATTTTCGAGGTACTGGAGAATATAAGACTAAGGATATCTTTTGTTTTATAACAAAGTTTACACAGTCTTACAAAAATTGTTATCCCATTTTTCTGTACAAATCCGCCAGAGAAAATAATTTTATAATATTCATTACTGATTCCACAGGTGAAAACCCAAGTTCTAAAAGGAAATGGTCCTATATTGAGCCAGAAAGCTACAATTAACTGGTCAAAAGCTTATTTTTAAGTATACAAATTTAATAAAATAACTCTCTGCTTCTAGAAAGTAATAGTATTCCAGTTAATTCCTTGCCTATAGTAACCACATAGATTTGATAAATGGGAGATAAATGAGTAATTATATTGCTTTAACTGAAGAAAAAGTATTTGAGAATGAAGAAAAAAAACACACTCTAGAGAGACAGATTGAAGAGTACATAATCCCTATAATAAAGTAAATTTATTAAGTCTGCCTCAACTACAACACTGACCAAAAAAAAGTATAACGAACTTCCCTGGTGGTCCCATGGCTAAGACTCCACACTCTCAATGCAGGGGGCCCAGGTTCGATCCCTGGTCAGGGAACTAGATCCCACATGTCGCAACTAAAGATCCTGCAAGCCGCAACTAAAGATCCCGCATGCCGCCACAATGATCCCACATGCCGCAACTAAGACCCGGTGCAGCCAAATAAATAAATAAATTTTTTTTTAAAAAAGTATAACACTGAAAAATAATAAAAGTCCAGAATTCAAAAACAATGGAGAGTCATTTGCTATTGTTTTTAAAAATTCATTTATCCACATTCACACTTTCATTCATTCAGATTCATTCATTTGACAAATATTTGAGGATCTATCATGTTTCAGGTACAGTTATAGATGCTGGATTTATAGCAGTTACCAAAACAAAAAACCCCTGACTTCATGAAGTTTACATTGGGAGAAACCTTATACAAGCAAAAGAAACTGGAAGATGTTGTTAAGAAAGTACTTCTAATATAAATCAAAACTACAATGAGGTACCACCTCACACCAGTCAAAATGGCCACATTAAAAAATCTACAAATCTGGAGAGGCTGTGGAGAAAAGGGAACTCTCCTACACTGTTGGTAGGAAGGTAAACTGGTGCAGCCACTATGGAAGACAGTATGTAGGTTCCTTAAAACACTAAAAATAGGGCTTCCCTGGTGGCGCAGTGGTTGAGAGTCCACCTGCTGATGCAGGGGACGTGGGTTCGTGCCCCGGTCCGGAGCCTGTGCTCCACAACGGAAGAGGCCACAATGGTGAGAGGCCCAAGTACCGCAAAAAAAAAAAAAAAACTAAAAATAGAGCTACCATATGATCCAGCAATCCCACTCCCAGGCATATATCCCAATAAAACTATAATTCAAAAAGATATATGAACCCGTATGTTCATAGCAGCACTATTCACAATAGCCAAGACATGGAAACAAGCTAAATGTCCATCAACAGGTGAATGGATAAAGAAGATGTGGTACATATATACAATGGAATACTACTCAGCCATAAAAAAGAACAAAATAATGCCATTTACAGCAACATGGATGCAACTAGAGATTATCATACTAAGTGAAGTAAGTCTGATACAGAAAGACAAATACCGTATGATACTACTTATATGTGGAATCTAAAATATCACACAAATAACCTAATTTAGGAAACAGGAACAGGCTCACAGACATAGAGAACAGACTTGTGGTTGCCAAGGGGGAGAGCGGGTGAGGGAGGGATGGACTGGGAGTTTGGGATTAACAGATGCAAACTATTATATATAGAATGGATAAACAATAAGGTCCTACTGTATAGCACAGGGAACTATATTTAATATCCTGTGATAAACCATAATAGAAAAGAATATGAAAAAGAATGTATAAATATGTGTAACTGAATCACTTTGCTGTGCAGCAGAAATTAACACATTATAAATCAACTATTCTTCAATTAAATTAAAAAAAAAAGAAATTACTTCTAGAAAGAAGGGCCCCAAAAAAGACACAAATTTCATGTAAAGCAGCAATGTCTGGAGGGAACATAAGAGAATCTTATATAATCTCACTAAGTATACTAGTTATATGAGTCAAGGACGAGAGGTGAGAGTGGGCCATGGGACAAATGATGAACCTTTCCTCTTGGAATTCATTAGGTTGTTCTGAATCAATATTCAAAAGCCATTATAGAGAAACCCAAGAGCAAGTGTGGCTATACCAAATAGAGAGGTATGTGACAGGGTCTATCTGTGATAATGGGAGAACAGTGAGAGAGTAACAGCTCTCCCAGTCCCAAACAGATCAGGAAAGTATGAAAAGAGGATACAGAGGAAAAGATAATTTGCTTGAATAAATATATATGCATAAAGTCAAAAAGGAAATATATTAAAATATGCACAATACTTTCTTATGTAAATGGAAACTACTATTATTTTTCCTTGCTGTTTTTTTCTATAATTTTGCCTAATTTGAATAAAAATATAAGCTATGTATAAAGTTTATTTAGAAAAACTTCATCTTATGTATTTTGTTTCTGAATCAGTTCTTTATATTTTAACTAAAATGTTTTTACTTGCATTTATAGCAAGTACTTTTGAAGTTAACAAAGTACTCTTAGTAGGACTAGGTGCATGTGCAATTGAATGGCAATTTTTATATTTTATTTTTATATTTTATAAACTTATTTTATTTTTGGCTGCATTTCCTCTTTGTTGCTGCATGTGGGCTTTCTCTAGTTGCGGCAAGTGGGGGCTACTCTTCGTTGTGGTGCGCAGCCTTCTCATTAAGGTGGCTTCTCTTGTTGCGGAGCACAAGCTCTAGGCACACAGGCTTCAGTAGTTGTGGCTTGCAGGCTCTAGAGTGCAGGCTCAGTAGTTGTGGAGCATGGGCTTAGTTGTACCGCAGCATGTGGGATCTTCCTGGACCAGGGCTTGAACCTGCATCCCCTGCACTGGCAGGCGGATTCCTAACCACGGCACCACGAGGGAAGCCCTGAATGGCAATTTTAACAAATAAACATGTATTTCTTATGAAAATAAGGAATATTATGGAAATTGTTCTGATTCTTTCTGTACAATATACTCTAGGTTATACCACTCAATCATTTAACAAAGATTTAATGAGGGGCAACTGTGTGCCAGACACCCCTCTATGCACTGTGAATATACAACAATAAATAAAACAAAATTCCTGTGTTCATGGAACTTACATGCTAATGGGAAAGAAGAAAACCTAAGAAATGTTCCCTTGCCCGGGTCAGATTATTCGTCCTAAGTCCCATGCTCACTCAGCTCCAGCTACACTGGTTTCCTTGGCTGTACCAGAAATTTGCCCAAGCTCTTTCCAACACCAGTGCCTATACACTTAACTGTTTTTCTGCTCTTCCCTGATACCCTTCTATGGTTTACATTCCCTCACTTCTTTCAGGTTTCTACTCAAATCTCATTCTTTCAGAAATATATCCTCATCTTCCTATCTGAATCAGTCCTCTCTCATCACAATTATAAAAGTGTGTGAAACCAATGAAATCAACCTTGCTTTTCATTTGCCTATAGGAACACATGCACCTTAATGTCCCCAAACAGAATAGTCCTCTCTTTGTCCTTCCCTTATTCTATTTTATTCTTTCTCCCAGCAACTACTGTAACCTGAAATTTCTCTGTGTCAAACACATACATACAAAAATATATACATATATATACACTAAATATGTTATATAGGTATTGCTTTTTATTTGCTGGTAGTCTGTTTCTCCCTCTAAATTAT